ATATATATCACTGGTTGAACAACGAGTTCAGGGGTGTTGCTGACAAGCCTGTTGTACGTCAACATCAAAACAAATACATATACAGCATACTCACAGTCTAATACAAAGACATATAGAGTTAGCATAATGGCTAAGGCGTTTGTACGTATATGTTCATACGGATATATATAGAGCACAATCACAGTATACTACAAAGATGTATTCAGTACACATTATACGTCTATACCAATACGAATATATACAACACAACTACAACATAGTACAAAGTTATATTGCGGTCTCATATCGTCTCACTAGTTTTCGCAAAACGTTAACTTACATAGGGATCTGTCGAACAACAAGATCAGAGAAGTCGCTGTGAATGCCTTCATTCGACCTGGACCACTGGAGGAAGTGTAAGTGATTGTACTGCGACTATTTTAAGTAGCCACCAGATTAATCTACTTAGAGATACGCTGGCCAGAGTAATCTATTTATAGATACGCTTGCCAGAGTAATCTATTTATAGATACGCTGACCAGAGTAATCCATTTATAGATACGCTGGTACTTTTATTCTCTTATCTTTTCACATGTGCAAGTACTCTCTGCCTCTCATTGTCATCGCTTATTTTCTCACATGTTCACATGTCTTATTTTCTCACATGTTTACATGTGCTAATAACAGATATCTGCAGAACAATCTGATCACCGCACTACCCGCACAGTGTTTCGATTCTCCGCTGTTGAAGAAACTGTGAGTTGTGTCTTTCCAAGATGGGGTCACACTGAGAGATTCCTTCTGAAAAAAAAACTAGGTTTAGGACAGTTTAAACCCCCAGTTTTGGGTTTAGAACCGGGTCATCACCGGTTGTGAAAACTAGACTTAAGATGTTGAAACCCAAGTTTACGCTGTTTTTGCTGCTAGATTGTTTTGCGATGGCCGTATGTATCGTACGTGAGTGTGCATGACAAGATCCAACTTGTCTTGTGCTTCTATAGCAACACAAATGGTTTGTATAAGAATGTAAATGGTTATATAGAAATACGAAGTGTCCTTTAGTATTACAGATGGTTTATATTGTATTACAGATGGTTTATATAGTAGTACAAACGTTTTATATAGTATAGTAGATAATTTCTATAGAAATACAGGTGGTCTATATAAAAAATATATGTAAAAATACAAATGGTATACATAGAATTAGGCATGGTTTATATAGTAGTGCAGTTGGTTTATGTACAAGTACAAATGGCTTATGTAATACAGACGGTCACATATTTGCACAATGCCTGTATATTGCTATGTCTATACACTCTCGCAGTACATTGGCACATCTTTATCCTTCCTATTTGACTATATCCGTAGATTGATTTACTATACCAATTACAAACACCAGTTGTTGTGTGCATATGGCGGAGTTGTTTTGGTATACCTATACTAAAAACGGTTTTATAACAGTTTTGGTATAAGCTATCATAAATGGTTTAGATATATCCATGTTGTCATGGGTTTTAGTTCTTGGACACGTGTAGGTTCTCACGGTTTATAATAACGTATCTTTGACATCTTCCGTTTATTATATTTTACTGTATATAAGTATATGATATGCATACGTACACACACATAT